GTGTGTGTGTGTGTGTGTGTGTGTGTGTGTGTGGTGTGGTGTGGTGTGGTGTGTGTGTGTGTGTGTGTGTGTGTGTGGGACCGTATCGTTCATACGGGGTTAATGGAAATAGCTGCTCAGGGAGAATGAGAGGTGTATGGTGCGCAGTGCGCGAAATTAGCGCATAGTTTCGCCGGTTCAACCACCTAACCCACTGGTTCAACCACCTAACCCACCGGTTCAACCCCCCAGAGAATCAGTCCATTTGGCCTATTCAAAATTTTGCCTATCCTGCCTTTATATCAATAATATTTACCAATTTCCTGACTAGTTTTTACTTAGTAAATGCTAAGAAGTAAATCATGTACATGCACGCAAGTAACAAAAACGAAAGCAAAACGAAGTAAGCAATGAAATACTGAAATACTACGAGTATGCCTAATAAACACAAAGCTAATACTTTTATTAATAATGGAATAAATTGAACAAAATTAAGGGCCTGTTTAAAATTTTGGGTGGTCCTGTTCAAATTTGGGCGAATTTCATGCCCTGGTGCGGGAGATGCGCTTGGCTGCTGTTGTGGGGCTGGAGGCATCTTTGTTGTGGGTCATAAACGGTTTTGCTGTTGAAGAAGGCAGATGTTGTGAGCTGTTAATTTGTATATCGTGCTGTCGATCGCTGTGCCCCCAACGGTCACCATCCTATAGTCGTGGTTTAGTAGAGCCATCGACGGACGGCACAACTGTATTGCGCGAGAGTTAAGCTGCAAAGAATTCCGGAAAAAATTTGGAGTTTTGCGAATCGAGTATTAAAATCGTGGAAATGCAGTAGTAACAAAATTCTCGCGAACACACCGTGACGTTCCGAACATCCGCGTTCGGCGACGATGACTGCCCCGCTAGAGGTCGCCATCTCTCATTGCTTGTTCGCTTGTTTGCAGCGTGCTGCTGGAGGCGGGAGCGAACGCGGAGGAGGCGGATAACGACGGCTGGACGGCGCTGCATGGGGCCGCACACTGGGGTCAGCGTGAGGCATGCGAAGTGCTGGCGCTACACGGCTGCAACATAGACACCAAGAACCTAGTCGTACGTCGTCATTGCTATCGTCGTCATGCGTGACGCCGTTTGGTCACGGTTTGTTTAACACGTTAAATCGATATACCGTTCATGGTTAATATAAAAAAGATGTTAATCATTAATGTGCACATATACATTGTAAGTGTTGATAATTACGTATTGCATAATAATAGTATGCAGATAATAAATAATAATAATAATAATAACAGATAATTAAAAGTATATGCAATAATTAAAATGAAAAATTAATTTCAAAAGATTATTAATCACAAATTCTTTTAGTATAGATGGTTTACATAACGAGTACGTACTTGATGTAGTTATTAGTTTAAAGGCATACTAAGCCCATTGATTATGCAATATTGACGAATGCTAGAGTAACTGGCACCTTGTGTAGTTAATAAGTACATAACCTTATATCCAAACGCGTATTAGTTTGTCGAATATCACTGCTGGTTACTAAGAAATTTCTAATTGAAATCCGCAGTCCAAAAATCAGTTGTTTACAGTTTAAAACCGCTGCCGGCGAAGCGGGTGTGATACAGATTTATAGTGCACCGCACATTTTCGCACGCATGCTCGGCCGTACGCAATGCTATCATCAGTGATTTCGTAAACATGGACGCTCGTGATAAGGAACTTTTTGTCAGGGCTGTCCACGTGCGTCCGTGATTAGTACGTGTGTTTTACTCCATTTCCATGCTTAGTCCGTGGCCGTGGTTACACCGCTGACACCTCTATTTCATCTGGCGTCCAAAACATACGGGCCGCACAAATGTTTACGTCATCGCTTGACTCCTGGATGACATTTACGGCACGTAAATGATAAGTTGATACATATCAACAACCGATTTCAAGTCTTGTTTGTAATGTAACCAGCAGTGATATTGGACAAACTAATACGCGATTGGCTATAAGGTTATGTACTTATTAACTACACAATGGGCCAGTTACTCTAGCATCCGTCAACATTGCATAATCAATAGGCTTAGTATGCCTTTAATTGTAAATGAGCGATACGTGTATCATTGTCTTTCAAAACGAGTCAACAATCTAAACAATATAACTATAAAAAAACTCGTCTGTATGGTCGTTGATAGGGTCAATCAGCATCTGACGTGGCAGACGACGAGATGGTCAAGTGGCTAGACGAACTGAGAAAGAAGCAGGTACGTTGTCGGCTTACTCGAACACTGCTCACTCAAGCAATGTGCAGTTTCTACAGTTGATAAATATCTACCGGTGACTCGAAGTCGCACATTTATTCATTATTTATTAAGTTCAGCGAGCCTTGGCGCATGACGTACGTGTGACATTTCTGCATTTCTTGCAGCTGGAGAAGAAGAAACCAACTCCAAGCATCCTCCCGAGGAAGATTCCGCCACCACTCAAAAGAAGGTAAGCGCGTGTCGCCATCGCCTGCTCCATGTCCAATCAAACCATTGACCAGCAGGTCTGTCCGGTTTCAACAGTGCCTTGCGTGAGCTGTCTAACGTTGCCCACACACGGTTCAACAAGTGTTTGCAGAAGCTGTTATACGTGGTTGCCCAAATTTGTTGAAGCCGGTGTCTCGCGGGCACGCTGTCTGCAACTCTACAACGTGTACGACATTATGCATTCTATCGGGAGAACGTGATCAATAGGTAGTGATTGATGGTTGGTTACATTCCTTCCCCTATTCAAGTATTTTAGCACGATGAGATGTGTTAACCGTCTCGAGACCGAATTATTAAAGTGTAGAATGGTAGATGCGTTCGTGAAATGTCCTTTTTTCGATTAAATATCGCCTTTTTTCTTTGCTCTTGCTTTGTTGTGATCGATGGGGGATACAGCACGTCGCAAGAGAAAAGGTACAGAGCATGTGTGTCTGTGCGTTTGGCGCGGGCAGACGTGTGTGTGCAACAGCCAAGTTGTGTCTAAAGTTATTGCTAAAAAGGAACTTGTTTATTTCGCAGTTAGCTCATTTATTTCCGTATTACGTCTAGGCTGATTTATCTCACCTGTGAGGTGGGTGATCGGTAGGGTAACGATAGAGTAACGAGCATGTGTTTGTGTACTCGCAAGATATTTGATTTTTGCGCGTGTGATTCACTTACACGAGTGTGAGGTGGAGTGGTATTCAGGAGCTGTACAGTGAGTGAGGTCTGTACGGAGCAATGCACTCTCGGCTTTGCGGCTACGAGCGTGTGCATACGTGATGGGAAAATTGCCAGCGTTATCAAAAAAAGCCGTCGGCGATGCAATGCTCGCTTCGGTTCCTTGGCTTTCTGCAGCTGATTGGTAAAAACGTTGAATGTTTTTAAAGTCACATTTGCATGGTTTCACAAGTCACATTTACACTCAAACTGATGTCATTCATTTGGCTCATTAGTCGCTCAAGATTGACTGTTGACATTCTATATTAATATTCGATGTACAGCTCCGTTTACGACTCTCCGTATGTTCAGATTATCATTAGGAGGCTATCGCTAGTGAGAACAAATCAGTATAAGTAGAGCATATATAAATATGTGTATAACATCGTGCGATTTCAACGATAGCAGATATGTGATGATCACATGGTGGTTGAAATAGGCAACGATTTGTATTCGAAGTAGTAAATATATGAAAAGAAAGTCAATTGCTTATTTGTCAACAGCTGGCTATCTTTAGCCACGTCTATTTATGGTATCACACACGATGTTGATGTTTGTAATTCTTAGTCTGCTGCCTCTCTTGCGAGCCGTATACCTTAGTGTATATTTAATATATATACCAAAGACAGTAGGTTAGAGAGCTGAGGGAAGATTACTGGAAGACACTGTTACAAAAGTGCAGTCGGCGTCGAGTGTTGCAAACATTGTTTTTAGCCATAGGAAAAACTGGGCAGGCAGGCGTAGCAGAGTGCGTCTAAGAATGTGCTGGTAGAAAAGGGGTTGCAACAGTACAGGGGGCAGGAAAGGAAATGCTTCGACAGCAGTGACATGAGGAAGGTCGTCGGTAGTGACATCCAGATGACATCCAGATGACATTCCTGTTGGAAGCTGCACTTTGCTTTCATTTATTTATTTATTTATTTATTTATTCATGCTCATAACTGCAAATCTTAGCTTAGGCACAACTTTTCGCAGCCAGTGTGTTTGTGTGTGTATAGATAGAGTAGGCATTATAGATATGGATTGTGCTATGCAATTACCACAGACATATTCTGTCACGCTTATTGCAGTGCGGATGTAGTTTTTACGTACAGAGATAGAATTAGTTGAAGTGGATGCTAGCTTACATGCATTAGTCTAGTTGAAAAGGGTCTTGTATATACCAACAGTGGGATGGGACTGTGTGGGCTGACAGTGTTTCCCCTGGCCAAAAAGGTCTGTGAGGTGGTAAAAAAAATTTGCTGTGTTTGCGCATTTCGAGGTCCTAGCTAGCAAAGGAATTGGAAAGAACCTCAGGTGCTTGAAATTTTTTGTTTGAAAAAGTGGTACAATTTGGTGCATTCTAAGCTATTTTGGTGCAAGATTTTACATTAAGATTTTAAAACCGAAAATAATTTGTGCATTTGTAATCATCTATTTTTAGCTCATCTGACATAGTCAGATGCAGCTTGTAGAATCGCATGATTGTTCGTGCGTGCGTGCGTCCGTCCGTGCGTCTGTCCGTCCGTCAACAGTTGGGCACAAATCTAAACGGCTCGACGTTCGGATTCGAAGGTCGGGACGTGGGGGGGTAACCCGAAAACGAGTTGGCATGTCGAAGCTGGGGGTCAAAGGTCAAAGGTCAAGAGGTGTAAAAGAAGGGGGAACATTCCTTCCTTAACTTAAGGTATAGGGAGCAAATGCA